GGTGACAGCGCCGCTCGCCGGCCGCCAGCCGCCCGCAGCGCCCTGGTAACGGAACTGGGCTGCTGCGCTGCATTGTGGGAGGGCGAGGGGCGCCTAGACCCCGACCCCGGGGCCCCGCGCGCTTCGAGCAGCCTCGACTCTCCCAGAAGTGAACCGTGCCAGAGCCCGGCTGAGAGACTGGCCACACTGCCCTCTACGGTCACCCGGAGATGAGAGGCTTTCTCCTCAGAGGCGTGCGCTCATGTCCCCACATACACGCCTCATGCCACACATGCACCACACTATACACAGCACACTCACATACCACACGCCACTCACACAAGCCAAGCAAGCACCACACACTACAAACAACACATTCACAAACTCCACACACACCCCTCACCCTCACTAGATGTGACATTAGCGCACTCACACACACCAGCCTGCCCTGCCCTAAGTCCCTGAGCGGGACCTGACACTCGTCTGGAGCGACTGAGGACCCTTTAGCAGAGGGCGGTGACTGAGGAACCGCAAAGCATGAGGGGATCAGATGTGAGTAAACACGTTTGGCAAGAGAAGAGCTCACCTTCTCTCTCTCACTCTCTCTCTCTCTCTCTCTCACTCACACATACACACACACCATGCAGCACCTGCCCACCCGGGGAGAAAGCCAGAGCAGGAGGCCTGCCCTGCCACTCGGGAGGGCAGGCCTGGGCCGCTGGTGCCAGCCATTCAGCTCTGGGGAGCCTGCTGACAAGGTGGGGTTGAAGGTCATGGCTGAGGACAAGAAGCTTTCCAGTTGTAAACTACCCTTTTGAATTCTCCACACACTTGGGGTTGTTTTTTTTTTTTTTTTTTTTTTTGGTTTTGTTTTTAAGCCTCCACACCAGAGTATTAAATGGGAACACAACTTGTTAGTGCACATCTGACTCAGGGCCTGGTTTATTTGTGTGGAATTTGTAGTTTTAAAGCTTTTGTTTCTCCCTCTAGATTTTTGACCTTGAGTTCTCACACAATTCATTACTTCCCCTACCTGGGAGGTGGACTGAGGAGAGAGGGGGAGACCCACATTTGATTGATAGATCTTGAAGAGTTTTCTAAAATGTTGAAAACCGGAAGGAATTTTATTTAGAGGACTCTGTAGATCCTCCCTTAACCCTACTAGACTCTTGGCAAAGAAGTTTTCCAGAATTCATGAGAACCTTTCTTAAGCCCTGGTACCCTCCTCACCTTCCACTCCACCAAACACCAATGACCACCTGACTGCCAAACATAAGGGAAAAATTTAATCCCCATCTTGTGCCCTCTGGGGCAATTGCCAATACTGACCTCTCCTTTCTCCTTAGAACATTCCACCCTCCCACTTGTGGAGGCCTTGAAACTGGATTATGAAGACAGCAGACTGGGGTGTGGCTATTGTTAAACCAACATGCAGGACCTTCCTCTAGTTTTACTGGTCACCTGGATAGTATTAGCATTGATTTTATCACACCATTCTGAGGTGAACTAGTTGATGACTCATAACAACCAACTCTCTTGAGGACATTTACTCTGATGGAATCACCATGTCTGTGATATAGCCAAAGCCCTTGCTGACACTCAGGGACCTGGTGAGGTATCCCCTCTCCAAATGACATGCCTTCCCAGTGGCTACAGAAGTCATTTGCCTCCATCTGGTCCTGGGTAAAAAGGTAAAAAGCTTTTTCCTTATGTCAGCCCCATGTGGTTAATGCAGTCTTCTACCAGTGTAGTATAAGTTGTTTTAGGCTTTTAGCTATAATCACTCCCCTATTAAGCCTTCCTTCACCAAATGTCCTCTTGATGAGACTTGTAAATAATCCTGATTTGTTTTCTAGTTATATTCCCAGAAAGTAACCTAACTAGAATCTGAGTATTTATGTTCTGTGATCAGTTCAGCTTTGATTTTCCAAAGAGTGGATTCAGGGAAGCAGAGATTCTAAATGTGGAGAGATTGTGTGGATGGCAATGGAATGTACAGGAGGGCCAACACCCAGAGATACAGGAAGTAAGGGTTAGTTTCCTATTGCTACTGTAAACAGATAGAGTAGCTTAAAGCAATAAGAATGTTTTATCTAATAGTTATGAAGGTCAGAAATACTAAAATGAAAATGTGTTCCATTTGGAGGCTTGAGGGGAGAATTTATTTCCTTTCCTTTTCCAGCTTTGAGATGCCATCTGCATCCCTTGGCTTGTGGCCTCTTCCTTTGTCTTCAACCAAGACCAATAGCTCAGAATCTTCAAATCTTTTTTTTTTTTCCTCTCACTCTGTAGCCTCTTCAAGTTTGGAAGAATATCTTTTTACTCTAAGATAGGCAAAGAGGATAGGAATTGATATAGATAAAGTTCTTTGTTATCTAGCCCCACCTATCTTTCCTTCTCTCACCCTACCTCTTTCCCCACTCAGAGGGCTCTCAGTTTCTTAACCCTTCAAATGGAGCTCTAGGCCACTTCCCAGTTCTCTTACTCAATTACCCTTAAATTGCTTGTTTATTTGTAGAAGACTATCTTCCCACAAGCCAGGCACTAAGTTGTATTTGTCACAGTATTCCTCATGCCTGGCACAGGGCCTGGCTCACACTGGGAGCTCAAATAGTAGTCAAATGAGTGCATGACAATACAAATGGAATAAACTAATGCCAGCTATTCACCTGTTATATTTACCTTTGATTTTCTTTTTTCTATAATGACCTAAAATTTTCTTTTTCTTCTTTGATTAATAGACATTATAGAAAAAATAATAAACTATGATATTATGCTAGATTCTAAAATTACAAAAATGAATCTGATTTAATCTAAAAATTCTGTGATTTCACAGTCCACCTAGAGAAATATATGCTAACAAAAAAGGAGGCATACAATGCTAGTTGCTATTCTTCTCCCTTTCTCCTCTTCTCTTTTAGTAACACAAACCTTATTTTGTGCCCAGTAAAAAATTTCATGTCACAACTTTCCTTGCAAATAGGTGTGACTAAGTATAGGCTTATGGTATATGGATGAAAGATGTCGTGTGACTTGCAGGAAACTCCTTATTTGTTTGTGTGGTGGCCATGTACTGGTAGGGAGGATCCCAAACCTATTTCTGACTGGAATATGGATGTGATAGCTGGAGCACCAGCAAAATTTTGTGATATCAAGACTATCTTGAAGCACAAAGTTCTGTAATGCTAAGGAAAAAAGAGCAGAAAAATGGAAAGAGCCATCCTAGCAACCCTGAATGCCATACCTTTTAGTGGCTATTCTTTTATATGAGAAAAAAATAAGAAGTGTCTTAATAACTATAGTAACAATCAGTTACTGATAACACAACACTTATTTATTATATTGTGACTTTAAAGGTCTAAAAGAGGGGTATATAAAATTCTCTGAGTGTATATTTGAGTAAAGAGTGAATTTTGGCTGGAGAAAATGGGGAAGTCTTCACAGAGGAAGTGAAATTTGGTCTGGGCCTTAAGTAAATATTCAGTAGACATTACAGTAAGAAAATTGAGAAGAACATTTCAGATTAAATAGTGTAACACTGATACTGAGTATCTTTTTTTTGTGATAAAGTTGATGAATTTGGAAAGATAAATTATATGATAGTTTTTTAAAAATTGGTTTTGGTATGCTTAGGAAAGGATGATGTGGTAGGTAGCACTGAAAACCATGAAAAAAAGTTAAAGATATATTTATTTATACATATAATAACTGGGGTATAGACCAGTAGTACAGGAGGTGAGAGGATTCATCAGAGACAGAGTAGGGAGCAGAACAGGCAGATTGAAATACATTGTTGAGGGGATCAGCAGGCAAGCCAGGAGAGGTCTGCTGTGCCATGTGGATCATCTCCCTGGCTGGGGATTAAACTCAGGCCTTGGTAGCTGGCAATAGCTTGACAGTATTGAAACTTTAACTACTGTGCCACCAGGGAGGCCCAAATCATGAAAATACTTAATGGTTAAATAGAAGAATTGGGAGGGATATTGATTAAAGGAACTATATGGTGAATTTTTTTTTTAAGATTTATTTTATTTGTGCATACAGAACTGGGGTGCAGGCCAGAGGCTCAGGGTGAGAGGCTTCACCAGAGACAGAGTGGGGAACAGAACAGGCAGATCTATGAAGTACACTGCTGAGGGGAGCAGCGGGCGGGTCAGGAGAGGTCTGCCACGCCATGTGGTCACCTCTGGGGCAGGCGGGGATCAAACTCATGCGGAAGTGGCTTTAGCTTCTTAGCACTGTGCTTTAACTCGCTGCGCCACCAGGGAGGGCCTATGATGAGTTTTATATGTTGGCCGTCATATATTTTTATCGTATTTTTAAAAAAGATTTATTTATTCATTTATGCATGTAGAACTGAGGTACAGGCAGAAGTGCAGGGGCGGTCAGAAGATTCACCAGAGTACAGTGGGGAGCAGAACAAGTAGATGGATGAAGTACACTGCTGAGGGAGCAGTGGGCAGGTCAGGAGAGGTCTGCCACACCATGTAGATCACCTCTGGGAGTGGGGATCGAACTCGTATGGAGGCGGCTGCCACCAGCTTGCAGTGCTGTGTCCTTACCTGTTGAGCCACCAGGGAGGGCCCTTTATCCTATTTTTTAAGAACATAAACTAACATGTATTTTCTTATGTATAATTCTTTCTGTTCATTCGAATGTTTAATC